ATAATTCAACTTTTAAACATGAAAGGTGTTCAAGACATCATCTCAAATTACTTATTTTATACACTTATCAACTTTACAATATATAAGTGAGATTTGGAACAAAATTTTCATACAAGTCAATTTTTATTAAAAGAAAGGAAAATGTCATAAATAAATCGTCTAATGAATTTAAGATTCAATCAAACAATATATTTAATTATTTATTGTGAATTTTACTTTGTTTAAACAAGAAACTAAAATACTTTCTCAAAACTTTGTATTCCATCAATTTTATTATTTCATTTGAATTTGGTGTCCTTCAGAAAATCCAACAAACTAAAAATCTTATCATAATTCTGAAATTGCTTTTCTACAAGGTTTGCAAGTGATCCTAAAAAATCCCGCTAAATAAAAAGTACAAAATTTTAAAGATTGACATTTCTTTTAAAAATTTGAAATCATATTAATAATATTGAAATAAAATTTCTGTCATCTATAGTAAGAACATATGTTTTACTAACCGTACATATGTTACTATGTATATTTATGTATCACCGTTATATTATAATTGTGACTTGAACATATTTTCTATCCTTATATTTTTGCAAGATTTTGATTTTAGTTTTTAGTTTTTTTGGTTATAACATGTAATTTTTCTAAATTCAGTATTTTTGTTCCTTTTTATTAACATGGTACAACAAAAGGTTAATGCATGACAATCTGTCATGACATTACAGGGAATCAAAAGGATTCAATTAAAAAAAATAAGGGCTAAAACTAGTAAAAAGCATTGAGAGAGTAGAATCAAAATTTCATAAAAAAACAAGACTAAACATATATTTAAGTCTATAATTTTTTAATTTCAAAGTGCATAATTAAATTTTATGTACCTGCATTGTCATGCATATACGATATGGTCTTGTTCAAATCTCCAAGCCAATATTTCTTAACAAATGTTATATAAACTGATCTTAACAGTGGTGTGTTGACTTGACCTCCTGAGAAAGTCTTCATACTTAGAATGTTGCTTACATTCACTTTTTGTAATTTTGGCCAATCAATAGTTCTATTCTGCTGGCAGAAACTAGTTAACTTTGGAAGGTCTTTGAGTACAAGGCACTCTACTTCAGGGAAAATGATGGATACATTTTCTTCTTTATCATCTGATAATATCTTTTCTATTTCCTCACAGTTACACAATTTGAGTAATTTCAACTTACCAAGGTTTTTAGTAACAGAACATGAGAATAAACTTTTGAGGCTACCACAGTAGACAATGTTGAGTGACACCAAATTTGGAAAAAATGGAACTTGAGGCTCCTTGTTCCAGAGATATGTTAAACTCTTTAGGTTGCTCAATGTTAATTTCCTTAGTTGAGGAAACATTTCTTGGATATTCTCATCTTTTTTGTCATCATCAAGGTAAAATACCTCAGTTAGTAACTCACATTTTTCCACAGTCAAATTTATTAGATTGTTGTATCTTGTGATCATATTGGCAGACATGCCTCTCAACAAATTGTTGTCGCTCAAAGTTTGATTTTCCAGTCCTAAAGTTTAGCATTTTTCAAAAAAGTTAGGAACATATTAATATAATGTCATAAGAAAATTGCTGTCGTCTAATAATTTAAATTAAGAATGTCAAGAGTCATATTTCAAAAAGCAGATGTTATTATGTATAAATATTTATCGCTAACTTTTATATTATTCTAAGTTTTGCATATAATATTAAAATTTACATACCTGAATTTTGATGGATATATGATATGGTCTTGTTCAAATTCCCTAGCCAATATTTCTTAACAAATGTTATATAAATTGATCTTAACAATGGTGTGTTAACATGACCTCCTGAAAAAGTCTTCATACTTAGAACATTGCTCACCCTCAGTGTTTGTAATTTAGGCCATTCAAAAGTCCCACTTTGCTGACAAAAACTGACTAACTTTGGAAGATTTTTTAGTACAAGGCATTCTACTTCAGGAAAAATGATAGATACACTTTCATTTTTATCAATTGATATTACTTCTTCTATTTTTTCACAATCACACAATTTGAATAATTTGAGTTTTCCAAGATTTTTGGCAGAAGAAGGTGAGAATAAACTTTTGAGGCTACCACAGTGGACAATGTGAAGTGACATCAAATTTGAAAAAAAAGGAACTTGAGGTTCCTTGTTCCAGAGATATGTCAAACTCTTTAGGTTGCTTAACGCTAATGTACTTAGTTGAGGAAACATCTCTTGGATATTCTGATTTTGCTTGTCATTTTCAATGTTAAATACCTCTGTCATTAACTCACATTTGTCCAGAGTCATAGATTTTAGATTGTCATATCTTTTGATCATGTTGGATGTGATGACATTCAATAATTTGTTGTTCCTCAAAGTCAGATTTTCCAGTTCACAAAATGATTGTGGGGGACAATTGTAGTGCCAGAGTTTTTCAATATCCTGGTTTATACAAAGTACTTTCAACTTTTCCAATGACAGCTGCAAGGTACAAATGGTAATTATCAATGTCTAGGAGTGGAGATGAAAACAAAACTACATAGAAAATATGAAATGAACTGTAATAGACATATAATTGATTGTGTGCATAGTACAATTATATCATTTATTTCCTTTCCATCATAAACATGATGGCTTTGACTTTGATACAAAAGTGAGATTGACCATAAGATTATATCAAAAGTGCAGAAGATTTATTGTTTATATATATATATATATATATATATATATATATAATGAAAATGAATATTATATCTTCAATTTTGATAAACTTACAGAATTTGGGAAGAAATAGTTTGAAGTAGCAGGTTCTGTATCATCCTTCTGCTCATTGGACTCATCAACAAAAGTGTTGAGAGCAGGACAATTTGTTATTATCAATGTTTCCAAGGATGGAAATTGAGATGTAGAAGGAAATGCAGTTGTGAACTTTGTTAGATTTTCAAGAGAAACATAATTCAATTGAGGTAAGGAGGTCTTATTGTCTCCCACCTTCAAGCGAAACATAATTTTCTTCAAGGACTCACAATCTGAAACTTGCAATGTTGTTAGCATTAGAGAGCCCCGTAGTGATTTAAGAGACTTGCATTGCTTTACTACAAGGATTTGGAGATTTTGGTAGCACCTGACAATTTCTTTGTTGATGATGTGAGTCAAATTGGGTAGGTCAAATAAAGTCAATTCAGTTAGCTGCTGCAAAAGCCTTGTAGAATGTGATATTTTCTCTTTAATGTGGAATATCATTTTCAATGTGTTGCAATGACTTACAGTGAGTTTCGTCAATTTTGGAAACTCTTGTAACGTCATAGAGGAAATGGCATAAACCAACGTGTGGCAAGTATCCAACTTGAGTTCATTTAACTCAGAGAAAAAACAATCGTCAATTGTTGGCAAATCATATGCATTTGCAAGTCCATGGGTGAATATTTTCAACTTAGGACAGTTTTTTATCACCAATGTTTTTAGTTTTCGGAACTCTGGATCACTACTTTTGGGGTGGAACATTATTAATTCTGGGAGGTACATAAGCTCCACCTTGCTCAATTCTTGATAACCAGGGTCTATACGTTCAAAAACTTGTTTTAACTTTCCACATTCTTGAATCTTCAATTCATTCAGTTGGGAGAGCCTGTTAGCTCCCTTAGGAAAGACTAGCATGAGAGAAGGGCAACTCTTGATGTGTACCTTTCTCAAATTGTGGGTCCTAAAGTAAGGGACACTTTTATCCCATATGCCCATCATGTCAGGTAATTCCATTAATACCAATTCCTTCAAGGATAATGATTCATAATTTTCTTCGTGAGAGAAAAATAGAAATGGTTCTGTTCTGCAGTGTTCAATGGTGATATGTTCAAGCACTTCTGACTGTTCTCCCAAAGAGCGAACAAATTTACACAAACGCTTCCCTTCGCTGCAATTTTTTGCTTTAAACATTGTAAGTAAAGTCAGAAACAAAGGTTCATGTTCACGTAAGTCCTCTGCTTTGCTTAATTGCTCATCCCCATCAATAGTTAAGTCATGTGTAACATCCTGTCAGATTTTACCAAAATGGATCTTTAATTTTGCCCGTAACTTAAAGTTTCATGAATGTATCAATGTCGAAATTGTGAGGTATTATAACTGTTCTATCAATTGCATAGGCAAAGAGATTTCTTAAACTATAGGTAGAATCAAATTCTAAGTTTGAAAAGTGTCTCATATTCATTCCTAAAGTTTAAGTACCATTGATAATTTTAAGAAAAGAAATTTGCAAGTCACTATTTCTCACACATCTATAGGGAGGGAAATAAAGTGCAAATTTGGTCTGTGACTTTTTCTTTTATTATTAACTAATTTAGTTTTGGTTGTGATTTTTATTAGAATCTCCTATTAGTTAGTTTTTTTTATCCCGTTATTTTTATTAAAGATGATAATATATTTTTTATTAGTTTCTTGAGTTCAATTTTTACAATTTTATCTTATTTTGTCATAAATATCTCTTTATTTACAAAATAAATTAAACATTTTGAATTATAATTCCATTTAATTTACATGTTAATTATTTAAAACAACTTCGATCTGTCAACGAAAATGTAACATAGAATAAATGTCACATAATAAAAAAATAAACATAAACATTTTTCACTAAATCATGATTGAAAATAAAAATATAAAATTAAAACATCAATAAATGATTAATAAAATATGACTATTTTATTTTTAATATTAATATTAGATCATCTATTGGATAAATTGGATTAAAAAATATTTGATACATATTTAGAAGAGATATCATGTTGTTTTTACATTTTTAAAGTTTGGATGAAAATTAAAAATAGAAAAAATATATAAAAACAAATATAATAAAATAGAAATATGCAATGTAGATTAAAAAAAACAAATGAAACTCATTGAATTTTTGAGAGAGAGATCTAACCAATAAGTAAAAAAGTTGATTAATTTGGGCATCATTGTGAATGTGCTCTTGATTGTCTATGATCATTGACTTCAACTGTGACCTTTCTATCCTTCCCTAACCAAAATCGAATATCTTAGGGCACTGATTCACAACTACATTCTCCAAAGATGACAATTCAACATAGCCTTCATTGATAAACCCCCAAAGTGATGGCAAGTCTTCAAGATGCATTTTGACCATTTCAGGAAATCCAATTACAGCATCTAAAAGTCGTCAAATTTCTCCCAATTATTCAGCATAAAAGAATAAGTAAATAAAAAAAATAAAATAAGTAAAAATGGTATTTTTGAATGAACATATAAAAGGAAGACAATGAAACACATGCACCCGCCATCAGAAAAACCTCTCCATTTTCTTTCTAAACTTGAAGGGGAAAAAAAAAATCATCTTTTCTCCTTCCATTTTATATTCAAAGAAATAAATTTTGAAAAACAAATTAATATTTAAATAGTAATAATAATAATAAAGAAAAAGTATTATGTATAATCAAACTTCAGATTTCTTTTATTTGATTTCATATTACATTAGTTTTATAGACTTTTGGGTTTAAGAAAGTGCTTTTTATTTTTATTATAAAACTATCATTTTATTTTTATTTCAGTTTTTATTTTTAAATATTTGTAGTGACAGAAATAAAAATATTTTTTTATTATTCTCACAGCTTCTTAAATCGATATGTTTTTATATACAAAAAATAAAATAAAAATAAGATAACATTTTTGTAACTAAAAGTAAAATTTTAAAAATAATTTTTCAAACCAAATTGCTTCTCATGTCTTTAAAAATATCATTCCAATATAATAATTTACCTTCGCTATCAATCTCACGGCATATAAACCTCAATTCTGGTAGCCGAAGTAGAGCTAAACAAATCAAACGCATATTGCTTGATTTTCCAATTTTACTATAATGCAAACCAAAAATCTGTCTCACTGAACTGCAATTTTTTATGACTAAAATCTTCAAATATTGAAGATTTGTGAATAACAAAGGAGTAAAAACAGCCATCAGATTCTCACAATCTTCGATGTATACGCTCTTCAAATTCCAAAATGAATTTTGAACATTGTATTTGAAAACATGTCTCAATTCACTAACATTGGAAATCACCATCCTCTCCAAATTAGGACAAGAAATCTGCATTTATGAACATAATTAGCAAATGAAATTATTTGACATTGATAGAATTATTTGTCACTAAATTGATACAAAATGTCAACATCTCTTTGTTTTGGCTTATTTTATTTTATTTTATTTGGTTTTTGTTAATTTTATGTACAAGGATTATAGCTTTGGAATTGTAATGAAAGGCAAAACACTAGAAGCAAAATTTTTAATTTATAATAATTTAATAATTTAACATGAGACTTGAAATATATACATACCTTGTCATCAAAAAGTGTGGGTCCATGGTCATCAAGAATTACGGGTTCATCATCAGAATGCCTGTAGAAACATGATAATTCAGGTAGCCCTTGTAAATTTAGAGAGTGTAATTGAGGAAACACGATATGTATAGGTATTCTCTCTTCTCCAACCACAATTGCCTCAATGAGTTTACACTCTGAAACTTCTAAATCAACAAGATGAGGAAGACTTTCTATCATTGTCTTTGAGAAGAGACATGTCATTTCATGGCATTTGTGTACTTTGATGACTCTTATTTTGAAGAATGATTTTTCAGTTAGAGGACCGTCGCATATATACTTTAAATTGCTTACATTTTTTAGAGACAAAGACTCTAAGTTGGGGAAAGCATCAATGTGATGATCATCACTAGAGCTCATGGCTATGCATTTGATTTCAGCATTGTTTTGTACAAAGAGAGATTGTAGATGAGGAAACCTATCACTATCCAAATCACTGAGAACATTTTGGACACCATTCAGTTCATCTAAGTACAAGACATCAACATTTTTCATCATCCTTTTAATCCCATCCTCCAATTGCAACCTTCTGTTGAGTTTGATTTTCAATGTTTTTAACCCATGATCACCATTATGGGTCTCACCCCATCTATCCCCAATGAAAATCCTGTACGATTTAAGCTTTTCAAAGTACAGGTCCATTGGCCATGCTTGAGGCTCAGGAACATACAATTCTTCTATATGTGTTAAGTGATGCAAGTTTGTTAGCTCTTCCAAGCTTGCGTTTTTGTTTTCACGGTTGGATCTTTCGACCTCCCAATTGCAAAAGGAGTTTCTCAAATATAATTCTTCCAAACTAGTTAAGTTTGACAGAACATTGGATGGAATCACTTGGAGATATGTGTCTCTTAAATCCAAGACTAGCAACTTCTGAAGTTGTCCAATTTCTCTGGGCAATTGTTGGATTCTACTTCCAAAGAGGACAAGAATTTGAAGGCTTGTGAGCTCACCAACTACAGTTATGTCTCCCAATTTGCAATTGTACATGGATAATGCTTGAAGATTCTTTAACATACTAAAACTAGAAGGCAATTTTAAACAATCAAAGCCAGTAAGTTCTAATACTTTTAGATGTTTAGTCTCATCAAAAAATGAATTTGGAACCTGCATTGAGGGATCATCAGAGCTTAGTATAATCTCTTGCATTTCTGGACATTGCAATCTTTCAGGAACCTGTGCACCACTCACAACAGTCATGTTGCAGAAGCGTAAACTTCTCAACCGTTCTTCAGGTAGCCTCCATTCTGTAGAAATCACTGAAGCTTTTAGATCACTTTGAGCTATTGAATAAGCAGTGTGCCATATCAAATCATTTATTTTGACATTTTCATTTTCATCTTGAACCAGAAGACCATAGGCCTTAAGATCACTAATTAATAAATCACACCTACTTCTTGCAGCTTCTAATGTATCAAGATTTTTTAATAAACCTTCCCACATGTCTATATATATACTATACTTGTTCACGGCTCTCCTTCCCCTAAAGGTAAGAATCAAGAGCAAGAATTTGTGTTCTTCACTCTCTAAACTATTGTAACATAGTCTTATTGGTGCAACATGTTCCTTTAGCTGCATCAAGGCATCTTGCAAAGCATGTAGGTCTTTCTTTTCTAATACCTTGGCTATAGCAAAAATTGCAGGAGCTAAACCTTCACAAATTTTCACTATTTCAGTTATTTTGGAACTTGCCTCAGAATCTTGAGCAATGCCTCCAACCATCTTTTGAAACAAGCTCTGAGCCTCTTCTTCTAGTAACACTTCTAGTTGAAACATCTTAGCCATAGGAGCACCCATCAAATTTTGGATGAAATTCAAATTTTTTGATGTTAGCAATAATTTACACCCCTTATGTTCATCACCCAAAGGAACTCCAATTTCGTCCAAATCAAATTCTTGAGGATTCAATTCTCCCCACACATCATTAATGATGATAAGAATCTTTTTCTCTTTCTTTATTCTTAGACGCAATCTATTTCTTCTTTCCACATGCAATTCCCCATTAAACTGCAGATCCAATATAGCTTCAATATCTTCTTGAACTTGTTTAATGCTTGGCTTCTCAGCTACATCTATGATAACCACCTTGAACAAGTTTGGTTCTTCTTTTGCTTGTTCTTCAACCTGTTTGGCTAATAAGGTTGTGCCTCCACCACCCAACCACCATACTCCAACTGTTTGAATAAGAGGGTCCTTCAGGGCCTCCATGATATCATTTATAGTATCTGCTCTTGATTTTGGGGCCTTATAATCTTTTGGTGGTTTTACTAATAGATAAAGATTACCTTCTTCTTGTGATTGTAACATTTCTTGCATCATCTTTCTTGCTTGTTTATTAACCTTGTACCACCATAGGAAATTTGTGCAAGAACATTTTCCTTCATAGTAGTTCACAAATACATTCACTTGTCTGAAAAACTCATCAGTTCTATTTAACCACTTACTTTTATCCTGGAATTCCTCAGAATCCCAAGTAAGATTTTCTTGCACCCTTTGTCTTTTTTGTTGCAGATTATTAACTTCGTTCCTGAGATTCTTCAAGATGCTTTTGTAGGAAATCGAGTTACCCAATTTACGTGCAAGAGTTACTACTTTCATGTTTCAAATAATGTGCAAATCGATCTTCCTTTCCCTTGGTCAAAGTGCACTTACTATAAATAAAAAATAAAAAAATTGATCTTTACTAACAAAATTAAAATTTATATTATAAATATTTTGATTTTGCACTGACAAATAATTTTATTAATACTACTTTATGAGTTAAGATTAGTTAACATTTAATAATTTAATTTAATTATATTTTCATTAAAATGTACAATAACTTCAATTTTATATTAAAATATAAAAAATTAATTTAACTATTTGTTTTTATTAATTTGTATCTTTATTTTATTTAAAAATTTATAGTTACTTTTACAAATTTTTTAAATTATCATACCTATTGTTATATTATTATAATTTTATTCTTATGAGTTGTGATTTAAAATATCAAATTATTATTTTTTTAATTTTTATAATATTAATTAATTAATTCATTTTATTATTTTTTATTATTTACTACTTTATGTATTTATTAATATTTTTTATATTTAACATAACTGCATTATTCTAATTATAGTTTTTCTTTTTACTTTTTCTAATATTAATTAATTAATTTTTAATAATTGTTTTGTATTATTTACAGATTTTTATATTTATTTGACTTTTCTTATATTGAATTATTATATTCACAAGAATCGTTGATTTGCGTAATTATTAACATAAAAATCGTATCCATGATGTTACTTTTTTATCTAATTCAGAGTAAAAATTTTATATTAACATAACACCAAAATAAACTCAAATAAATATAATATGAATGATATATTATTATAAGAATAACTATTTTTTATCTTAAAAAATCAACTGAATACTCAAATTATAGTATAAAATAAAAACTATAAATTATATAATAAGAAAATTATATAAATAATTTTTTAACATTTAGCAATCTATAAATATTATTTTATAAATTTTTATATAATTGTGTAAATAATGCATAATATAGGTATGTGTCAAGAAAAAAATCAGGTATGAAAAGATCCATAATTAAAAAAGAATATATATTACTAATTTCTGTATTATACCTATTCATAAAATAATTTGCTAGGAAATAAAATAATTATAATAATTTATAAGAAAACCTTATTATAGCTCATTCTTATACATTAAAATTTAATGCATAAAAATCATTAATTATGTCAAATAAATTAAACAGTGAAAATAAATATATTTATTAATTTTCTTAAAATGTAACGATTCATATTTTTTTAAATAAATAATTGCTGCATAAAATTGGACTTGTCTCCAACAGAATCTTCCTGGTATGTTAAACATTAATGTGATTTGTTTAAAATAATCAACAATCTTATTAATATTTTTATTTATAGTTTAAAATTAAAATAATGAATTTTCATATAATATAACTATAAATAAAATCTTTAATTTAAATTTATTAATAATATAAAAAAATTTACACTATCATCTAATCATAGATTATCTTATTAATAAGATTGTTGATTTCTATAATAATTAACATAAAAATCATATCAATAATATTTTTAATCAATTAACAATATAAAAGCATTCACATTAATATCACTCTAAAATTATACTCAAATAAAAATATAAAATCCCTGATATATTACAATAACAATAACTATTGTTGATCTCAAAACAAAAAAAAAAGCTAAATACTTAAAGTATAAAATAAAAAGTCAATTAAAGTTTTTAAAAAAGTTACAATAAGAAAATTATATTTTAATAAAATATTTTATAATTTTTTCTATACACTATTATTATTATTATTATTATTATTATTATTATTGTGATTTTAACCAATAGCAATTTATAAATATCTATATAATAATGTAAATAACATATAACATAGGTATATATAAAGAATAAATCAGATATAGAAGGATTATAATTTAAGTGTTTCACATACCAATAAATTTGTAATTTTTCAAATACTTTACAAACTTGTCATAAGATTTAAATTCAACACTTTTAATAGACCATGGCATATAGGATTTAGTCCTCTATATAAAATAAGAAAGTGAGAATCTATTCATCTTTGATTTAAAATTACTTTTTTTACTTTACATATCTCCCTGTATAAGAGAAATATTACTAATTTTTTGTATTACAACAATTCACATAACAAATTACTAGAAACTAAAAGCATTACAATAATTTGTAAAAAATAATAATTATAATTCAAAATGAATAAAAATCATTAATTTATGTAAAAAAAAAAAAGGTAAAGAGTGAAATGAATATACTTATTTTTTAAAAAGTAAATTATCCTTACCTTTTTATATAAATAATTGCAACAATTAAAATATTCACCTGTTGTAATTTTCTTGAACTCGTCTTCAGTGAAATCTTCCCTGAACCCACGCCGACGATTGCCCTAGCAAAGCGATTCTCCTGTTGGCACTTTATAACTTTTGCATTGTAAAATCAATTAAATAATAAGCTAAATATTACTGATATTAGTTTCAACATATAAAGAATAAAAACACATGACTTGAAAAGCTTGCACTGATTCCACTGACAAATTTATTTAATTTAGCTTTTAATTTAATTTTTTAATATTTATTTTAATATATTATTTGCTATTATATTTAAAATAATTTAAATTTATTTATTTGGCAAACTCTAATAAAAGTAAAGTATAATATAATGCTTATTAGTCTTTCAAGAGATAAAATAATAATAATAATAATAAAAGTTTTATTTTATAACATAAAAATTTGTACACTCTTCCTTCAAAAAGTTGAAGTTGATTATCATAAAAGATAAGGTAAAAAAAAATTAGAATAACACATGTACATTTTTTTCACCTTTGAAATATAAAAGAGTATGATGAAGAGAAGGAAAGATTACATGATTCAAAAATAGACAATTGATAATAACCAAGAAGGAATTGTAATTAAAAGAAAGAAGATAAAATTACTATTAGTAAATTGTTAACAGCCAAAAAAAAGTAATAATATTAACAAACTCTTATTGAGATATATAAGGATTTTTTAAAAGCACATGCACTAGTTCAATTTTTGTGTTATTTTTTGTATTTATAAATAAAACTATTAGAAAGTTGTTAATTAACATCAAGTATGCATTATTATGAGATAATATCTTACAAATCAAAATCCTAGGATCCATCCAACAAAAGAAATGAGCTTTAGTGTTTCTAATGTGTAACTACAACTCTTTTAGCTTGAGGAGAATTATGCACACAATGAAGGAAAATATCATAGAATGAACCTTTTGAGCAAGCAAGTGATGACGCATGTTACACTAGAAACACTTGTAATTTATTGGTATGGTGTTGTGCAATGCCACATAAATGTACAAATTTTCTCAATGACATAAGCACATTTAATGCAAAACTAAGTAATCATATCTTATGATGACTTGTTATGTCCCTGCAGTCACATAAGCATATACTTGATGCTGCTATATTGTAACTGTGTAATCTCATGTTTCTGAGAAAAAAATCGTACCTAGTTTAGTTAGTAAACGCTTTTGATGATCAATCTATCACTCTTTGAAAACGTCTTTAAAAGGAAACTGAACTCTAGAACTTCTTTTTACGAATTTGCAGTGAATTGTTCCTTCTTTTTCGAACCTTAACAACTATGAAAATATTTATCGATTTCTTTAAGAAGGGTTAGATTCTTCAAGTTTACATTAATACTTTCCTTAACATAAAATTGTACTTATTCTTTACTTAAAACCTATGTTAGATAAGGAATGTGAAATATTTTTCTTTTCTTACTTCTTCTTTATGAACTTTACTTTTTTATTTGTTCTTTGCTTCATTGCAATTATTTTCTCTAATTGTGTGTTTTCAACCATAAATAACGTTAAACTTACTCAATATTAAAATGATTTTGTTAAACACATCCTGAAGGAATCAATTTACTTGCACCCTTTAATGTCTCATATTTATCTATAACTATAACTAGGCATGTTCGTGTGACAGTTTCTTCTACTTGAGATGCCATTCACGAGTTAACTTAATTATTACTCAACCAATGGCAAAGGCAATGAGCACTTGTTTCCATTAGAACGGTGCATAAATTAGATTAGTAAAATATTAATCCAAATTTATTTTAAATATAATTATATAGATTTAATTTTAAATTAATCTATTTTATTTTTTAAAATTGATTTAAAATTAATTTTTAAGTTTAAATTTTGTTTTAAATTATTATTTTTATTAAAATCAGTCTTAAATTTGGTGATTTAGTGTTTAAGATAAAATTAATTTGTAATACTTGGATATCCTACCTTATTGGTCTCTATATAGTCCTTTTTTTTAAAGCCTTATAATTAGTGAATTTACATTAGTCCTAAACTCTAAAATAAAAAAAATAATGGGTTAGTACAGGATTAGGAATGAGCTAACCCACTTATTTTACAAAGTAAGAAATAACTATTATATTATTTTTTAATATATTTATTAAATTATTTATTTAAATGAATTAAAAATTCTATTTAAAATATAAATAATATTTATTTAATATATTAAAATTTTATCATAAAAATAATATCAAATATAATTATATTATAAAATTAAATTAAATTTAACTTATGTATTTGTTTAATTTTATTAATTAAATTTAATATAGTACATTAATAAATTATTATTTTAATTAAGAATGATTATTAAATATTTTTAACTAAACAATAATTAAATAATAAAATAATATTTTATAAAATACTAATTAATAATTATTTTAATAAATTTAATTAGTTCTAGTAGGTTTATATATACTTTAATGATTTTTAATAATTATAGATTTATTATATTTTAGGTTTATATATGGTATAATTATTTTTAATATAAATATAAATATGTAAAGTATTAAATAATTAATTTAACAATTATATAATCTTAAATGATTAATTTTAATAAATTTTATATAGATATATAGGTATAGATAGATTTTTATGATTAAAAAAATATAGTTGTTAATATACACTTAAAATTCAATAATTAGTAAATATTTACATAAATCAACATATAAATAAAAAATTAAATTATT